CCCCTCCCCGTTTGAGTATCCAATGAATGTCCAAGTTGCCCATCTCCGTCCACTCTGTGTGTGGAGGGGGTCTCCCTAATCTTTTGTACACAAATCTTTGCCTTGTAGATAGTCTGCTTCCCATGAAACCCCACCTAAGACAGTTAGTATGGGTGAGGTGCTAGGAAGCTAACTAAGAAAATTATATTCTGGATCTGGATCACCTGTTAGCCCGTACTGGTTGCTGCTATGCAGGTGTCATTGTTAAAGCTTTCACCATGATGAAAGGGCAGAGAATTCCCTGCCAGTGTAATCTCTCAGGAGCTTGAGAGGTTTGGTAGAAATGTTAATTATAAGGAGCATGGAATCAAATGGATTTTTCTAGGTCTCACTGACTAACTGGCAAAAGACAAAGAAAGGCTGAGGGTAATTAATCCCCAATTCCAGGTGAGGTGTGAAAGCCAGAAGACATACATTTGTTGTTGTTGTTATGTGCCGTGGAGTCGGTTCCAACTCATAGCAACCCGGTACAGGGTTTCCGAGGCTGTAAATCTTTACGGGAGCAGAAAGCCTCATCTTTCTCCCATGGAACAGCTGGTAGTTTTGAACTGCTGACCTTAAGGTTCGCAGCCCGATTTGTAATCACTACGCTACCAGAGCTTGGACTCTAGTGTCAAGAAATCAAATGACTTATTGTAATGGGCAAATCTGCTCTTTAAAGTACTGAAGAGCAAAGATGTCAGTTTGAAGACTAAGGTGCACCTGACGCAAGCCATAGTATTTTCAGTAATCTCATATGCATGTGAAAGCTGGATAGTGGATAAGGAAGATCGTAGAATTGATGCTTTTGAGTTGTAGTGTTGGAGGAGAATTTTGAAAGTGCCATGGGCCATCAAAAGAACCAATAGATCTGTGTTGGAAGAAGTGCAACCAGGGAGCTCCTTGGTGGCCAGGACGGCCAAACTTCATCTCTAATACTTCGGACATACAGTCAGGAGGGACCAATCGCTAGAGAAAGATATCATGTTTGCTAAGGTGAAGGGTCAGAGAAAAAGAGGAAGACCCCTAACAAGATGGACTGGCACAGTGGCAGCAGCAATGGCCTAAAACATAGCTGCAATTGTGAGGTTGCACAGGACTGAGCAGTGTTTCCTTCTGTTGTGCATAGGGTCACTGTGAGTCGGTACCGACTCGATGGCACATAACAACACAATTTAGAAGAATTAACCCCCATGCCCCCAAATTTTATGTATTCCCCAGATTGGCTCATGGAACAGGCACTGCTTTTAGAATTAGTAAAAAGCAACAAATGTTATTTTTAAAGAGACTCAATTTAAATATCACTGTGGACAAGAAAGGCCTTCCACAAAAGCATGGTCCTTGGAATAAATCTCTGTGTACCAAAGTTTCATGTATTTAGCTGTTGACTGAAAGGTTGGAGGCACCTCAGAAGAAAGATCTAAAATACACTTCTGAAAAATCAGTCATTGAAATCTCTTTGGAGCATAGTTCTACACTGACACACATCATCATCATGGGTCAAATCAACTCGAGAACCTTGATCCTCACCAAACACAATAATGTATTGATCAATCTGTACTCATCACTAGATGAAGAGGACAGGAATTTTGTCTTTTATCTCTATAAATTTGGTATGTGTGCAATTCCAGGGACATAGCAGGTTTCCAACAAATATGTTTTGTTTTGAATCTTAGAATAGGACAGGTGATCTCTATTATTCTGAACCCAAAAATAAAAGCCCATAGCTTATTTAAAACAAAATATTTTAAACAAACACTGCACTAGTAGATTTTAGTTTTGGTGAGCAAAATCTGTATTGTTTTAAGCTGTGGTTCAAACTCACCCAGGGACTCTGTGGAAGAAAGATCTAGTGATCAGCTCACCACAAAAATTTTTTAAAAAATCAAATCCAAAACCATGGCCATTGAGTTGATTCTATTCATACTGACCCTAAAGAACAGAATAGAACTGCCTCAGAGGGTTTCCTGGAGTCCTTGGTGTGGCATTGAAGGATAAGCACTGGACTGCTAACCACAAGACCAGTGGTTCAAATCCACCAGACGCTCCTTGGAAATACTATACAGGGTAGCTATGAGTCAGAGCCAACTTGATGGCATTTACCAACAACAACAATAAGGTTTCTAAATCTATCAATTTTTACGGAAGCAGACTTCCACGTCTTTCTCCCTCAGAGGAGCTTGTGAGCTCAAGCTTTTGGTTAGCAGTTGGGGCTTTAACCACTGTGCAACCAGGGCTCCTCCATAGATTACAGCCTAGAAAACTCAGTGGGGTTTTCTACTCTATTTGGTTCTCCTCTCTCACATGGAATTGCTATGCATTGAAAATTGACTTACTGAGAACCACAAGATTCAAACCCACCAGCTAGCTGTTCTTCGGAAACCCTATACAGGGTCACTATGAATCAGAACCTACTCAATGGCACTTAACAACAACAACAACAATAGGTATTGTTTTATACAAAACACTGCACTCCTGACAAAAAGAATAAACTTAGAGTCAAAGTATGATGAATGCTGTAATTATTCCCTGAACTAAAGTAACATAATATTAACACAAATATTTTCCTCAAAATTTAACATAGTGTCCTTCCAGACGAGTCTGAAGGCAGGCAGGTGTTTTCCCAATGCTGTTCTCCGGGGGAGTTGACAGCCCCGGTGCAGTACTTCACAGCTAGACTGTAAACAAAATGGAAATCCAACTGGCTCAGTGCACATTCAATAACAAAATACCAGAAACAAGTTTTCTCTGTTTTTCTTCAAAATGTAGTCTCTTGAATAGACTTTTATTGTGAAAGTCATCATAGTTTGAGTGCATTCCTCCCAGCTGGAAATTTGGGTCCAGTTTAACAGTTATGTAATATGTGAAGATTAGGCACAGCACAACAGAAACCTGAAAACAGACTCAACTATCTTTGTTATTGCATCTTAGCAGAAAATGTTTTGTTTAATATGTAAAGGGGATTTTAATTTGAGAACTGTATGACTATCTTGGGAAAAAATCTAGTTGAAAATTTGTCTCCAGGGTTTCCTCTGGTAATAAGCAGAGGATTCTAATTGCTATTGCCTTCCTAATCTATCTAATATTTTTGTCAGGTTGTGTTTGTGTAGAGGTGGCACATTTGTTAGGTCTGATAACTTACTTAGCTGATAGCTGAAAGAGCTGGAAGTTCAAGTCCACCTAGAGCTGCCTGGGTTGTTGTTAAGTGCCGTCGAGTCAGTTCCGACCCTGTATAGGGTTTCCGAGGAGCAGCAGGTGAGCTTGAACTGCTGACCTTGCAGTTCAAACCACTTTGCAGTCTAGCGCGCATTAACCCACAGCGCCACACCAGGACTCCAAGAGATGGCTGGGTAGAAAACCCAAAAACTAAGCCCCTGCAGTAGCCCTGGTTCCGTGACCCTATTGGGCAGAGTACAACTGCCCCCCATAGGGTTTCCAAGGCTGTAAGTCTTTTCAGAACCGCTGTTCTCCAAGGGAGCAGCTGGTGGGTTCAAACTGCACCCTCTGCGGTTAGCATCCTATCGCTTAACCATTGCATCATTAGGGCGTCTTCTGAGAAAAAAAATCTGCAATATACTTTTGAAAAATCAGTCACTGACAATCCAATGGCGCACAATTCTTCTCTGACACACATGCATTGGAATAGACTTGCCAGCCACTAGTAGGCTGGATGACTTGGCAGGGTGCCTCATACTCAGCCTATAAACACAAAAATCCCTCCTTGGGGAAGGAGTTTTCAGTTACTGGGTGGTTCTAAGTTAGGAACGCGGTGGCACCCTAACACACTCCACCCAGACACACACATTTCGCACTAAACCCAGAAGTCAGGTCCTGTTTCACACAACTCAGAGCTGCCCCCAAACCCCCCCAGAACTGCGCACCCCCCTCACACACCACACACACTACCCATATCCTGCCCAGCCCCCACCCTCCCAGAGCCTCATTTGTCCTCTGTCGTCCCCCTAACCCTCATTCCACCCCGGAGGCCCACCCCGCTCCCCTCGCCCCCGCCCCACCCCGCGGGAGCCCCTCGAGCCACCGCGCTCGTTGCCGGCCCTGTGGGCCCTGCTCACCCATTGGCCAGCGCGGCCCAAGGCGGGAAGGTGGCTAACGGCCGCGGCTGCCTCTCGAAGGGCCGGGGGAGATGGCGTCGGCGCCAAAGGCGGCTGGGCCAGAGGACTCAATCCTCACCCTCAGCCCCGGCCTGGGGACCGAGCAGGTGGTGACCACGCCTGCCGGGGTCACAGCGGCGGCGGTGACCCTGAGAAGTGGCGCGTCCCCGGTCCGGTCGGTGGTGGCCTCGCCTCGCCCTGTGAAGGGGAAGGCTGGCCGGGAGGCGGCCCGGCGGCGGCTACAGCTCCTGCCGGGATCGCAGGTGGGGGGCTCAGGTGCTGGCAAGGAGGAGGAGGAAGAGGAGCCCCTTCTCTCTGTCCCTGAGGAGGATGAAGAGGAAGCGCAGCCCTTACCCCCTATCTGCGTGTCTCCCATGAGAGGGATGTGGCGAGAGGAGAAGGTGGCGCTGTACTGCGACGAGGTGCTGCGGGGCTGTAAGGTAGGACTGTAAACGACAACAGCAACCACAAGGTTTCTGAGGGTCTTCCGCTTAGTGTGATGGCAATACAAAAGAATGAAAAAACGTGCATCTTAGAAATGTAAATTGACTCGACATTTCCAGCTTGTCCACCGCACTAGCAGTAAAGAGACCTAGACCTTGACCTTAAGGACATTCAATTTCCCATCAAAAGGAAAGCGCCTAAGAAATGAAGACACATTCCATGGGGATGTCCAAAGGTATTGAGTTCCTTCGTGCAGGACTTGATTCTAAACACAATGTGTTTCCACATGGCTTTTGAGTCAGTCGAGGGCTGCAGACCAGTTTGCTCAGTGACACACTTGTGTTCGTCTTGTTACAGTGCCTTTCAAAACAAAGATACTTCTAGTCCTGTGGACAAAAAAATGATTTTGAGGTCAGAGCTAATACAAAGTTTTTAACGATGCTCAAGTGGACAGCTTCCCAAATTCTTGAAGCTTTGCAACAAATTTTGCAGGAATGTTGCCCCACACAGAAGCACCGTTTTTCAATAGACCAAGCACTTTAAGAAAGGTCAGGAGGCCCTCAAAGATTCATTCAAAACAGATCATTTCATAAGGTTATGGTGACCATTTCTTGGGATTATAAAGAGATACTCTTGAGGACTCTGGTCGCCAAGGCTTATTAGAAAAGCATTTTAAGAAAATTGAAAACTCCCATGTTGGCTCAGGTAATGAGGGAGGTTACAAAAAGAGGGAGGTTAGCAGAAGAATGATGAAAACGGGTGAAGACAGAGGGAGGAATTAAAGGAGTTAGAGGTAAATATGTGTTATATACTCAACCCTGAAACAACAGTGTTCTGCGGGTAGATATATGGATACACAAGCTGAACAGGGATGGAAGGGAGACGGTAAGTATACCTGCAAATATATAAGGGTCTGAAAGAGGATGTTTGTACGCGGAAATTTACCTTTGCTGCAAACACACCTATGAGTGTGGTGGAACATACAACAGGCAAAATGATGGAGACTTCTTAGATATTATCAAACATCATAAAGCCTGGGAGCTCAGGATCATAGTCTCAGGAGACACCATAGTTAGCTGGCATACCATAGTCTACAAAGACAATGTTCTACATTCTGTTTTGATGAGTAGAGTCTGGGATCTTAAAAACCTATGAGAGGCTGTCTAAGGTGCATTTATCTGTCGGTCTCTCCATGTGTGAAGGAAAGAAGGGTGATGAAAATTGAAGATGCTTGGCATCAGCTAGTCCAATGGACCAATGCAGCAGGTGAACATCAGCCACCATGACTCTGAAACCAGAAGAATTAGATGGTGCCCAGCTATTCACTGTCAACTGCTTTGAAAGGGATAATATTAGAAAGTCCCAGATAGAATGAGAGAAAATGTGGAACAACACGCAAAATTATTTTAAAAAAAGATTGGGATTACTGATCAGAAAAAGACTGGAGGAACCTGAGACTGTGGCCTTTGACCACCCATCAGGTCTGGAATGGAACTCACCCTCTTGGCCCAATTTTCAGCCAAGCAGTAGATAGGTATACAGGGGAGATAACAATATTAGTAAGGTATGCTCACCATGGAACTTGTCGATCATTCCAAATCATTCAAGATCAAAAGGGCGACATTTACCTAAAGACAGTTGAGAAGGAATGGGAAGGAGAGTAGAATGGAAACAGGGACTACAGGGAGGAAATGGGATAATTCTTGTTGTGTGGAGATTACAATCATTGAGACGAAACAAAGTGTATGATTTGTTGACTGTAAAACAGATGATCGTAAACCTTTAATCAATTCACAATTAAAAGGCTTTTTTAAAAAATTAAATTAAAAATTACATTGGTGAGAAAAAAGCCAGGAAATTTGCCCCAAAGAATTTTTTTCTATCATGGCTATGCACCTAGTCATTCTTCATGCATAGCAAAGAATTTTGTAAAAATCATAGAAACCTTTATTAAACAAAAAAATCAAAATGTAAAGCTATGGTATCTCAGTATGTCTTCCAGCTAGATCTGTAAACATATGAAGGTGGTGTTTCCTTATTTCTAACCTTTCCGCAAAGAATTCTGTACTCTTTCTGCAAGTTACACCACTCGGAAGTTTGGCATAGTTGAGGGACTTAAGTAATGCTCCTTTTCAACATTCTTTGAGATTGGGGAACCAAAAAAAAAAAGTCTGAAGAGGCAAAATCAGGGCTGTAGGGTGAATGGGGTAAGGTTTCCCAAGGAAATACTCATAGGACAGCCCTTGTAACCCTCAAAAAATGAGCAGATGCATTGAAGTGATGGAAACAATTCCCAAGTGCAATTTTTCTGGCCTTTTTCTCATCCGTACAGTTTTCCATTTTCTTAACACTATAAGAAGTTAATAAGGCTTCATGGTCCTTTGAGAAAATCTACCAAGATTACCCTTTGGGATCCCAAAAATGAACTGCTATAACCTTGTGAGCTGACCTCTTTGCCCTGAATTTATACTTAAAATTCATCTTCTTCAAAATGCTCAATCCATGTAGAAGCTCAGTATCATCAGTTAGAACAAGACCAGGGGTCAACTGTGGAACAGACCATCAATTGCTCATACGCAACTTCAAGTTGAAGCTGAAGAAAATTAAAACAAGGTCATAAGAGTCCAAATACTACCCTGAATATATTCCACCAGAATTTAGAAACCATCTCAAGAAAAGATTTGACACATTGGAGTATATTTCACATGAGTTTAGAAAAGATTTGACTCATTAAACACTGGAATCCTGGTGTAGCGCTGTGGGTTAATGCACAAGACTGCAAAGCTGTTTGAACTACAAGGTCAGCAGTTCAAGCTCACCAGCAGCTCCTCAGAAACCCTATACAGGGTAGCTATGGGTCGGAACCCACTCGGCTGCACTTAACAACATTAAACACTAATGACCAATGTCATTTTAATTTTTTAATAAACTAAAATAACATCAAAGATATCATACATGAAGAAACCAAAAGTCATTAAAAAGACAGGAAATAAGGAAAAGACCAAAATATATGTCAGTTAAGACTCTGAAACATGCTCTGGAACTTAAAGGGCAGCATGGGAAGACAGAGTAAAGTATTATAATGAAATGTCCTAAGATTGGGAGTTCGAAAACCAAAAGGTAAGAGACATGCTTGACATTTCTCCATCTGAAAGAACTGAAGAAAAAAAAATCAAGCCTTAAATTGCAATATGAACAGAGTTTGTGGGTAAAATATTGAATAACACAGGTAGCAACAAAAGAAGATGGAAGGAATACAATCATGGAAACGTACTAAAAAGACTTAATCGCCATTCACAATTTCAATAGGTAGTATATGATCAAAAGCCAGTAGTATTGAAGGAAGAGCTTCAAGATGCACTGAAAGTATAGGTGAAAATCAAGGCTCCAGGAATTGGGATGTCTCAACAAACGAATGTAGCACTGGAGGTGCTCATTCTTTTATGCCAGATTTGGAAGACAGCTAACTGGCCAGTTGACTAGAAAAAAATCCATGTTTGTGCCCATGCCAAAGAAAGGTGCCTCAACAGAATGCACTATATTATTGAACAATGTTGTTAATACCACATGCAAGAAAAATTTTGCTGAGGATAATTCATTGCAGCAGTATGTTGATAGTGAGCTCCCAGAAACTCAATCTGGATTCAGAAGATGATATGGAATGAGGGGTATCATTGCTGATATCAGATGGGTCTTTATCAGAAGTAAAGAATACCAGAATGACTACCTGTGTTTCATTGACTATGCAAAGGCATTGGATTGTGTGGATCATAACTAGTTATCAATAACATTGGAAAAAATGGAAGTTCCAGAATACTTAATTGTACTCATATAGAATCTATACATAGACCAAGAGGCAGTGATTCAAAGAAAGCAAGATAATACTTTCTTACTTGAAATCAGGTAAGTGTGCTTCCTTTCAGCATACTTATTTCATCTGTAAAATGAGCAGATAATCTGAGATGCTAGATGAAATGAAGAATGAAGCAGCATCAGGATTGGAATACTCATTAATAACCTATGATATGCAGATGACACAACCTTGTAGCTGAAAGCAAAAAGGACTTGAATCACTTACTGATGAAGATCAAAGACTGAAGTCTTTAATATGGATGTATACCTCAAAAAAAGGAAAACAATTCCTCATAACTGGACCAATAAAGCAACATTACTATAAACAGAAAAATGTCAAAGTTTTCAAGGGTTTAATTTTACTCAGATTCACAATCAACACCCAGGGAAGATCTCTTTAAAGTGTTAGAAAGCCAAGATGTTACTTTGAAGACTAAAGTGTACCTGACCCAAACCATGGTATTTACAATTGCCTCATACATGGGAAAGCTAACAATGAATAAGGAAGGCAGAAGAAGAATTGATCCTTTTGAGGGTGTTGAATTAGGGTGTTGGGGAAGAATATTGAATACTTGGACTGCCAGAAGAATGAACAAATCTGTCTTATAAGAGGTGCAGCCAGAGTCCTCCTTAGAAGCAGCTATGGCAAGACTTTGTCTCATATACTTTGGACATGTTTATCAGAAGGAGTATGCTTGGTAAAGTGGAGGGTCAGTGAAAAAGAGGAAGATCGTCAACAAAATGGATTGACACTGTGGCTGCAACAATGACTTCAAACATGGGAAAGGATTGTGAGGATGACACAAGCAGTGTTTCATTGTGTTGGACATAGGGTTGCTATGAGTGGGAATCCAGTCCACAACACCTAACAACAACGACTGTGAGAACTTGTCTACGATCATCCACTGTTCACAGAGACATATGTGAGCACATTTGTTTGGAATGAACCTGTACACGTATAAACTAGAACCTGACTAGCAATGCTTTTATACTTAGCATCATACATTTGAGAAGATAAATAAAAAAAGTATTGCTATATTGTTTCCTTACCCTCATATATTTGAGGAGCCCTGATAGCATAGTGGGTTATGAGTTGAGCCACTAACCACAAGCTCAGCAGTTCAAATCTACCAGCCACCCCTTGGGAGAAAGAGGAGGCTTCCTGCTCCCATAAAGATATACATCCTCAGAAACCCTAGACAGGGTTGCTATGAATCCAAATAGACTCAATGGCACACAACCACCACTACCACCATCCACTTGAGATTGAGGGTTAGAGAAGACCACCTCTGTGAAAGGCAATTGAAAAACTTCTATAGAGTTATTGTGTCTTTACTAAAATGGTCTAATGACTGAGTTTCATAATAGCTCAGATTACCATTCTTGAGGTAACTGAAATTAAATTTTTAAATGAATGGAATGCTATTTTACGTGTTATGTACTGAAAATGTTTTAAATTGTTCATTACATTTTTAAAATCCAGAAAAAAATAATTAGTAGGTTTTTAACTATAGTATTTACTACATTTTTTATAAGAAGCTCTGGTAGTGTAGTGGTTATGAGTCAGAGCTGATAACCTCAAGGTCAAAAGTTCAAAAGTACCAGCCATTCCACAGAAGAAAGCTGAGGCTTTCTGCTCTTGTAAAGATTTAAAGCCTCAGAATCCCTATGCAGGTTCACTATGAGTTGGAACTGACTCCACAGCACACCACCACCACCACCACATTTTTGATAATACAGTCAGCCCTCTATATTTACAGGTTCCACATCCTTGGATTCAACCAACTGCAAATTAAAAACATTGGGGTAGGGAGCAATTAAGTGGTCACAGCAATCCCTAAAAGGCTGAGAGAATATAATGTGTTATTTATACAGCATTAACACTGTGTTAGATATTGTAAGTAATGCAGAGATGACTTAAAGTGAGAGAGAAAATATATGTAGATTATATGCAAATACTATGCCATTTTATATGGGGTCCTGGTGTGGCGCTGTAGGATGAGCACTGGAGTGCTAACTGCAAAGATTAGCAGTTCAAATTCACCAGCTGCTCCTCAGAAACCCTACATAGAGTCACTATGAGTCAGAATTGACTCAATGCCAATTAGCAACAACAGAAACATTCCATATTATATAAGAGACTTGTGCTTATTTAAGTATCTGTTGGGTCCTGGAACCAATCCCTTGAAATACCAAGAGACACCTGTAAGTAATTATAGCTCTTTCTGCTCAGTGGATTAATAAAACATACTATTTGAAGACATAAATAATATGTAAATTACTCTATTGAGTGAATAGATCTCTTGTTCAGTTTAATTTTGTAATACTTTTGATATTTTCCTTTTTCTGTTAAAATTTTCCAGGGTTTTGGTTATTTAAGGCTATATTGGTTTCATATTTAAATATAAATCAGTAAAGGCATTTTGTTACAAATATGTATTTAGGTATGTTTCTTCCTTTGCTTGCTAGGCAGAAGATGCTGATGAAGCTATGAGTAAATACCTATCAGAAAAATTAAAGTTGAAAGATAAATGGCTTGGAGTCTGGAAAACTAATCCTGAATTATTCTTTGTGAAATATGAAGAAACTTCTATACCTTTTGTTGGCATACTAGTTGAGGTAAATTATTTTTGATCTTTGTTCTTTGAATTAAAGTATCTGGTCTTTTTAAATATGGGGTCTTTTTTAATACTATAAATCTATAAATACTATACTATATTTTTAATACTACAAATATAAAATTATATTTAATATCTGGTCTTTTTTAATACTAAAAGATATTACCTTATTAAGCTTGTGGCATACTTCTATTTTAAATTTCTAAGCAAATTAATAAAAAGAAAGTAAAGGAACCCCCTTCTAAGACTAAGACTCAATGGAAATACATGCTGTGATTGGTGACCACACGCATCACCGATAGGAGGAAGTGGGGTCAAAGCAGCAATGAAGTGGCAAGCTAAGCCTTACAATGTTCAATGGGCTTCTGTGGACCCAGTTGGGGACCTGGTTGGCAAGCAATGTGAGGAGACCTGGGGACTCTTGGGCCCAGAGTCAGTGGCGTGGCCACAGAGGACTCAAGTGGATAGTGGAGCTACCAGCTGATGGGAAGAGAGGGCATGTGCACAAGAATGTCCACACTTGCAGATGGTACCCACGTGACCTGGACCGGATGACTGGATGATCAGAGCTCAACCAGGAGAAGAAAGACGAGGAAAAAAAAGAGTGAGCTGATACAATCTGATGAACTTGACCTATACCTATGGATGCAGTGGCTCAAAAGAAAGAACAAATCCTTACAGCAAGAAACATTCCCACCCCCTCCACACACAGAGTAGACAGAAATGGGCAACTTGGACATTGGATACCCAAATGGGGACGGGAGGGGGGCGGGGACTACAAAGGCAAGAAGTGACTGGCTTACAAGCTTTCAAGAGGGAACCTAGAGCTAGGGGGCATGAAGGAAGGCAGAATCTCCAGTGAGTACTATCCAATCTGTCTAGGCGGAGCTGATGAAATGAAATACAGATGAGTAACTCGTGATACTGTAGTGAATAATGATTATCAGGACTGATTATGAGGGTTGGAAATGCAAAGGTAGACATTTTGTAGCAAGGAAGGGAGTGTGTAATTCTCCAGTCTAGGAGCGGAGGTCTCTAGGACCATCAACGGAGAATAGCCGAGAGCGGGACCCTACCCAGAGAAGCAGAGATGCCTGAGATAGAGACAGAGACGATGATGTGGAGTGATGCAGCAGCTGGGGACTTTGGATCCAGAGAGGGAGAGGGACTGTGGGTCGAAGACTAGGGGGTGGAGGGGGGAGTATAGGGGGCGGGTTTCTAGGATATACCCTTTGGTCAGTTGATGATGCATGGAGGGGATTGGAACCATGGCAATGAAATGATATATGATGGAATGAATGTAAAACTAAAGTTCTCTCATGTAAATAAATTATCATATAATTCTCAAGAAAACATTTTTAAAAAGAAAGTAAAGGGGCATATTATCATGTAATAGAGGTGTCGCGCCCCCACTGCCATCGAGTCAGTTCTGACTCATAGTAACCCCATGTAGGGTTTCTGGGGCTGTAAATCTTTACAGAATGCTCCTCTTTCTCCCAAGGAGCAGCTGATGCTCTCCAGCTGCTGACCTTGTGGTAACCCATTACGCCACCAGGACCCAGGAGTATCAGACAACATTTATTAGTCGAGTTTCAGTTGCTGAAATAACTTAAAAATAACAAAAGTATATTTCTTTAAAAATTAATAATTTAGCCCTTATCAAATTTTGGCCACTTCGCTTCCATTTTTATTTATCTGAATTATGAAGTTTCACTGATTTAGATTAGAAAACAAAAAGAAAGTTATTTAAAAAAAAAAAATGTTTTTCTTTGGAAACTACCCTTTTAGTATAATGCATCAACTTGTAAGCTTTCATTTAATATGATTTTGCTTTTTTTACCTGTAGGTTAAATATTGTAGCATATAACGTCATGAATCTGAATAAGGGTCAGTTATACTTGTACAAAATTAATGTTTATAATTACAAGCTGTAACTGCTACTTCAGGTAGTTATTTCAAAGCTGTCATTTTGGTTACATGAAAAACTTGTGTTTAGAACTCATTACATTACATAACAAAAACAAATAAAAATATATGTTCTATGGAGAAATATCACCACCTGTCTATCAGTTTGTTGTGCTATGGGGGCTTTTTGTTACTATGATGCTGGAAACTGTACTACTAGTATTACAAATACCAGCAGGATCACCCATGGTGGATAGGTTTCAGTGGAGCTTCCAGACTAAGACAGCCTATGAAGAAAGACCTCGTGATCTACTTCTGAAAATTAGCCAATGAAAACGCTGCAGATCATGACAGACTATTGTCCAGTTGGACTCAAGCATACCAGTGATCATGAGAATGTATTTGGGGTCGCCATGAGTCAGAACAAACTCAATCAATGGCAGCTCACAACAACAATGGGAAAAGTAAATTGGTGGCATCTTTACAGGTACAGAATAGCATATTTTCAATTATAGAGAATACAAAGGAATATAAGAGTTTGGGTATTAATTGATTTTTTTCAATAATGCTCTATTTTTAGTTTCCTTGACGTTTGCTCATAACTTTTACCTGAAATTTACATAACTTCTCTGGACAGTTTTCATCTGGATAAAATAAGAAGAGGTGGGCCTTTTATTTTATCCAGATGAAATAAGTGGTTTTAACTTTCTGTTTCTTTTTTCTTTTCTTTTCTTTTAGTAGCATACATTTTGTGGGGTTGTTTTTTTTCAATCAAGTTGTATGTGGAAACAGAACATGTCTGACTGAAATGAGGGCTGATATACTAGAATTGGAGTCCTGGTGTGGTGTTGTAGGATAAGCACTGGACTGCTAATCACAAGGCTGGTGATTCAAACCTATCAACTACTCCTCAGAAACCCTCTAAAGGGTCGCTATGTATCAGAACTGACTTGATGGCTCTTTTCCCTCACCACCTCGGTAGCCTCCTCCACTCCATAAAACCTTTGTAGATCCTAATGTTCCATGGAAACTCGATGTGTTTGGCTGTCTAAAAATTCATTATGTATTCAAACATGTCCGTTTTGTCTTTTCAAAGAGATATCCTTTGCATCCTTCTGTTCTGCATCCTGGATTGTTGGTCTCTAGACCAACTGGATAGCTGACCTCTTAGAATCTCCCTCCCTCATCATTCTAAGAGCTCTTTTTTAGCATATTTCTCAGATGTCTTCTTTTTTTCTTGGTTTATTCTCTTGTTTTGGCCAAGGATTTATCCAGTAGCTTCATGGATAGGACACAAAGCTGATTCCAACTCATAGCGACCCTCTTGTGGGACAGAGTAGAACTATTCCATAGGGTTTCTGGGGTTACAAATCTTTATGGAAGCACACTGTCTGTCTCATCTTTCTCCTGCGGAGTGGCTGGTGGGCTCAAGCTGCCGACTTTTCAGTTCACAGTCAAACTCTTAACCCACAGCATCACCAGGATTCCTTTTAACACAGCATATGAACCCAAATTAATATTTTTCTTAGACCTTTTAAGAACTATTTTCAAAGTAGGAACTGCATATAATACCTTGTTGTTAACTGCCGTTGAGTTGGTTCCAACTCATAGCAATCCTTTATAGGGTTTCCAAGGAGCAGCTGATGGGTTTGAACCTTGTGGTTCATAGTCCAGTGCGGATCCTACAGTGTCACACCAGGAGTGCATAGAATACCTATCATAAATAAAATGCAACTTATTATTAGCCACATTTGCTCATTTCATTACTTCTTATAGATTCCTCATTGGTGAAAATAAGACAGGTGACATTCACCAGACCTAGAGGTGCTGATCCTGATAGAACTTTGTGTGTGCGGCAGATGTGACTCAGTTACCATCAAATAAGTATTTTAGCGGGACACTAAGGCATTAAATAAATCTATTCATATTCTCAAAAATGCAACTGCTTATGGAGGAATTGCCTTTAAAACACTCAATGCATTATTTCCTCATTAATTTTTGCCTAAGAATGGAAAAGTAAAAAAGAAGCAGGAACTTCACTTCCAGGAAAACAGAGTAGACATACTATTCCGTAATCTCTTTGCTGTGTATAACTGAAAAATTGTATGTACAATAAACATAAAAAGACTGAAAAGCAGAAGGTAGATCAACCAGGAACCTTGTGACCCAAGGAATGAGATGGTAGTGAGTTTTCAGTCTTTTTTTCTTGCTTCATGTATCCTAAATTGGGTACTGGAGGAGCTGGCAATGCAGAAACACTAACAAGTACATACAAAAAAAGAAGAATCCAAAAGAAATCAGTTTTCTGTAGTCAAAAGACCAAGAAATGGTCAGCCACACACCACAGGAAAAACTGCATTCCTCCCTCGCCCTCCATAGGCAAAGGCCAAGTGAAGAACCTAGACTTTTACCCTTAACAAACTGTGACTCTATTGCCAGGGTGATGTCAGAAAACACCAAGTAGGAAGACTGATGGGGGAGCTGGATGGTAATAGGATCATGTCATTTCTCACCTCCTGTGGTGTCAAAATAGATTAAATGGGGAGCCTGGACTCTATCACCCTATCCAGTCACTTGGCATAAAGGAAAAACCCTTGTATAGGGTGGTGTCAGAAGAGATCTAATGAAAAGTTATTTAACCCCCACAGTGTCAGCAGAAGCCTAGTGGGGAGCCTAAACCAGCAGGACCTCTTCTCCCTACAAGGTGTCAACAGAGACAGAGTGGAGAATCTGGATATCCATCCCATCTGGCAGTAACGAGGTAGTACCACAGCCACCCTTTTCTGCGTCAGAGTCAGAGTAAAGCTCTGTGTCAGTGTCAGAGTAAAGCTGCTAATAAAGCACAAGATTTAAATTAAATAAGATCCATAATCTCATAACATACTGTTCAAAATGCTCAGTTATCAACCGAAAATCACTTGTCATTCCAAGAATCAAGAAAATCTATACTTGAATCAGATAAGATAATTAATCGACATCAACACCAAGACTACAGAGATAGCAAAGAAATAGAAAGTCTTCACAAACAAAGGAGCTCTGGTAGCGTAGTGGTTACAAATCGGGCTGTGAACCGCAAGCAAGGTCAGCAGTTCGAAA